GATCACAGCAGTGATCACAGACAAGGGAAGATGCGTTCAGCCTGCAGCTTAGCAAATGTCCAAGAGGTAGACAAAAATTCATCTTCCCATCCAAATACCTGCACAAGCTCAACCCAATGTGTCTATGAAACACATCAGAATTTTGGGGACCCATCTTGCCACTAATACTAGTCTCTAAATTATGCCCAGACCCCCAAGATCTCCACAAGGCTGGGTTCCATACTCTCACCCCTACTCACCAAGGTCTGTGTGCAAACAGATGATGGATCCCTCTCAATGCCCCATGAGCATGTCAACTCCCTTCATTCCAAGACAGTTCCTGAAAAAGCCTCCCTGGATTCCAGCATCTTGGGTTTAATCAGTGCCACCTCAGTCTCTGCAAAGATAGATATCATTGTCTAGGGATCCAGGCTCCAGGGATCCTTTTGCATTAGAACCCCTCTGAGTCTCCCTTTCTGCTAGGGAAAAAAAATTAGTTTCAATGGGAGCCTAGAGCCCATGATACTTGGATTGTCCTTGGAGGACTGTGGAAAAACATTTACTCATCTCTCAGTTAACCATGGGAAAAATGGGTGGCACTAATGCAGATAATTGGATATGGCAGATATCCAAGTCCTTTTGTTTGCAACTAAGAAGAGGAAAGAGATGAGGGAATTCATTACTACAGAGGGATACCCATGCTCCAAAAGAAATCTGATGTCCAGGAGATTTTTTTTCTGCATTAAATAATGAGGCAGCAATGGTGGTGGCACAGCTAAGACGCAGATTCTCTGGTTCAGGACATTTCTTCCACTCAGCTCCATCCTTGAAGGGCTTCCAAGATTCAGGAAAAACAATAGTCAAGAGACAGATGGATGATAGTGAGACCCGGACTCTACAAAAACATTTTTTAAAAAATTAGCTGGGCATGGTGGCACACACCTATAATCCCATCTTCCCAGATATTTGGGAGGTTGAGGTTAAAGAGTTGCTTTAGTCCAGGACTTTGAGGCAGCAGTGAGCTATGATTGTACCACTCCAATCCAGCCCGGGTGACAGAGTGAGACCCTGTCTGTAAATAAAAAATAAAAATTAACAGAGACAGCTGGTTCCAGTGCCCATGACCTTATTGTGTGTCTGTGACCAGAGCCAGGGGAAAGGGCAGAGATCAGAGAGTGCAGAGAGCAACTGACTTACCAATGAGCCCGGCCTTTTATTTTATTTTACTTTATTTTTATTTTTGAGACAGAGTCTCACTGTGTCACCAGATGGGAGTGCAGTGGCACAATCTTGGCTCACTGCAACCTCTGCCTCCTGGGTTCAAGCAATTCTCTGGCCTCAGCCTCCCGAGTAGTTGGCATTACAGGCATTCACCATCATACGTGGCTGATTTTTGTATTTTTGTAGAGACGGGTTTTACTATGCTAGCCAGGCTGGTCTTGAACTCCTGACCTTAGGTGATCTGCCTGCCTTTGCCCTCCAAAAGTGCTAGGATTACAGGCAAGTGAGTGGGCTTAGAATTGGCTAAAATGAATCATTTCAGTAGGCTCTGGGGTGTGGGCACTGTCCCTGGTTATCTGGGGTGATTGGGGCAAGAGGATAGTGGGCTGGAATTCAAGAGCCTGACAGAGGAGGTGGGAGGGGAGTATGGGCTCCGGCTTTGGTGGTTTGCATAGGAGCTGAAGTTGCAAACAAATTATTTACTACCTCTAAGCATTGGGTAGTCAGGAAGAGCTGTCTCTCCAGGCTCAGCAAGACTCCAAAATGCCGCAGCCTCAAAAGAACAGAATAAAAAGACATGATTCATGCATCATTCCCTTCAGTTCTCCAGAGTTTGTGGCAAGACTGCTCAAGAAGTTAGTGGTTCTCAGCACTAAATGCACAGCAGGCTGACCTAGGAAGATTTTTTTTTAAGACGGTTTCTCACTCGGTTGCCCAGGCTGGAGTGCAGTGGTATAATCATAGCTCACTGCAGCCTCGACCTCCTGGTGATTGATCTCCAGCTTCAGCCTCTTAAGTAGCTGGGACTACAGATGTGCACCACCATGCCCAGCTAATTTTTTTTTTTTTTTGTATTATTCTTTTTTGTAGAGATGGGGTCTTGGGTACTCCCTGCTGGTAGGCAGGAGACTATACATCTTACCTCTCTCAGATCCGAGACTGGGTGGAAAAATTAACTCGCCCAGGCAGCCTTCAAGTAAGTCCACTGCACAGATCTGAAGTCTGCTTGATGTGTGTGCAAGAAGTGCCCTTTCTAGATAAATGCCCATTTAAATTCCCAATTCCATTTCAAATTGCCCAGATGTTCCGGTTGTCATACGTTCACACACACAAAAACCACAGTACTTGTCATTTACGTAACAGATCCTCACATAGCACTTACTATGTGTGAACCACTGACCTAAACATTTGAAAATAATAATTTGCACATCCTCATAGCTGCACTTTGAGGTCGGCACTATTATCATTACTCCCATGTTGCAAATGGGAAAACTGAGGCACAGTTAATAGTTTGCCTCAGCTATTAGGCAGAGGAGCCAGGGCTTAAACCCTAGAAGGCTGGCCCCAGATCTTTGGCCTTAAGCACATCATGGCTTTGTTGCCTATAATCATGCTATTTTCTGTATTGTTGCTTCAGTATCTCAGAAGCTAGCATCTATTAAGTGCCAGACACGGTATCCTCATTTTACCCAAGAGGAGAGGAAATGGAGGCTCAGAGAGTCCCAACCTTTGCCTCTGCCTTTTAGTGGGTTTTTTGTTTGTTTGTTTTTTCTTTGAGAGAGGGTGTTGCTGTGTCACCCAGGCTGGGTGCAGTGGTGTGATCATAGCTCACTGCAGCCTCCAACTCCTGGGCTCAAGTGATTCTCCCACCTCAGCCTCCCTAGTAGCTGGCTCTACAGATGTGAGCCACCATGCCTGGCTGTTTTGGGTGGATCGTAGATTTCACAATTTCCCAGATTCACAGTCAGCCACTGCAGTAAGTCTAAGATGTAGACTGGACTCTTGCCTCTGCCTCATCCCAGTTGTGACTTTGGACAATTACTTGGCCTCTCTGAGCTTCTATTCCATCAAAAAAATAGAGATAGTACCCACTTCTAAGTCATAAAGTTGCTGTAAAAAGTTGCCACATTTTAAGATTTAAAAATGGAGAAAAGTCAGGTGTGGTGGCTCACACCTGTAATCCCAGCACTTCGGGAGGCCAAGGCAGGAGGACTGCTTGAGCCCAGGAGTTTGAGATCAGCCTAGGCAACACAGCAAGACCCCATTTCTAGAAAACATTAAAAACATGTCCGGGCGTGGTAGCACATGCCTGTAGTCCCAGCTACTTCCAAGGCTGATGTGGGGCGATGGCTTGAGCCCACGAGGTTGAGAAGGCTACAGTGAGCCGTGATTGCACCACTGCACTCCAGCCGGGACAACAGAGCAAGCCCTAGTCACACACACAAAAATCGAAAACAATAAAGCGTTATCACTTACTGTCTCTGGTTGTTGTGAACAATCCAAAAAATTATCTGGGCCCTCCATAAATAGCTGAGCAAATATTTCCAAAAGCATGGATTAGACCACACATACCAATAATTAAGTCAATGATTAAAATGCTCAATAGACCCCACTCTGGCAGAGTAATCTATGCACAACTAGAAAATTAAACCTCTTTCACTTAGATATCCCATAAGACATTCAACAGCACTGTTCCTGGTGATTTTCTTTTTTTTTTTTTTTTTCTTTTTTTCTTTTTTGAGATGGAGTCTTGCTCTGTCACCCAGGCTGGAGTGTGGTGGTGCCATTTCAGCTCATTGCAACCTCCACCTCGAGGGATCAAGCAATTCTCCGCCTCAGCCTCCCAAGTACCTGGGATTATAGGCATCCGCCACCACACCTGGCTAATTTTTGCATTTTTTAAGTAGAGACGGGGTTTCACTGTCTTGGCCAGGCTGATCATTGCTGGTGATTTCTACCACCACATGCATGAACATACACTAAGATAAAAAAGGTTTTATTTGCTTTAAGTAACCAGTGATACCTGATATCACCAAAAACAGTCATGGTCTTGAAGCAACTCTTTGAATGCATTTTGAAGCCTGTTATTTATTGTTGAGACAATTCTTTCCTCCCAAATGCACCCCCTCCCCTTTTATCTATACTGAAAGCCCCTTCTTTTATCTCACTGAGCCCCTCTCCTGCCAGGAGGAAGCAGGAAGGAACCTCTGGAGAGAAGTAGATCTCCCCCATCTGCCATATAATTGGAGTACAGAATACAAGTCAGGGCTGGCTTCCAGGAGGAGGTGGCATCAGGCTGAGATTTGAAGAGGCAAATTCCTTCTTGGCAGGAATAGGTCAGGGAAAATGACCCAGGCAGTGGACATAGCAGAGAAAGAAAAGAACCTAGGACAAGGTTTTTCCTGCTTCTCCCGGCCTCTCTCCATCCCCACCCAAGGCTGGCTTCTGTCTCCATTTGGAAACCAGGAAACCATGTTAGCTGGCCACCTGCTGATTAATATTCTGAGGAGGAATATTCTAATATTCTGGGGAAGCCAATGACAAGCTCTCTGCTACTACACTGTAAATAGTTCACGTGGAAATACCCAGAGGAGGATTCCTGAGTCTTCCTGAAAGCATGGCCAATTTTAGAGAAATCAATTTTACACAGTTTTACTGAAACCATGCCCCAAAGAAATGTTTGAGTTTACAGGATGTCAGATCAAACAAGAAACAACTTGCTGAAATGCCTTCCACTTGTGAGGGTTTTTTGTTAGGGTCTTTTGTTTGTTTATTTATTTATTTATTTATTTTGAGATGGAGTTTTGCTCTTGTTGCCCAGGCTGGAGTGCAATGGTAACTCCATTGCAACCTCCTGGATTCAAGTGATTCTCCTGCCTCAGCCCCCTGAGTAGCTGGGATTACAGGCATGTGGCACCACACTTGGCTAATTTTATATTTTTAGTATAAAATATACTCCTCCAGCCCATCCTCTTGGCTGCATTGTGATGTCTTAAGAAGACTGAGGGGGCAGCGTGATGTCATAGACTGCGGGGGCCACATCCTCCCCCTCTCTGCCTGCGGTCACCACTGGCCGGGTCTCAACCTCTCCTCCCCACACCCCCAGCCCCAGAGGAAACGCTCCCTCACCTGGCCTCCTGCAACCATGGATGCAAATCCCCCCAAATCCTCGGAATCCCAGTCCTTCCTGGAGGCCCCCAGGCCTGGCCCGAACCCAAGTTCCATCGCGGTGAACAAGCCCCCGCAGCGAGACTCCCCCAGCCTGGTGGCTGACAGGCTGCCACCAAAGACGTGCGCTGTGGTTATTGACATGGGCACGGGCACCTGTAAGGTGGGTTTCGCTGGGCAGGGCAGGCCCACCTACACCGTGGCCACCATCCTGGGATGCCATCCCAAGAAACCCGCCACTTCGGGGCAGTCTGGGCTGCAGACGTTCATCGGAGAGGCCGCCCGCCTGCGCCCGGAGCTGACGCTGGTGCAACCCATGCGCAACGGCATCGTCGTGGACTGGGACGCCGCCGAGCTCATCTGGCGCCACCTGCTGGAGCACGACCTCCGAGTGGCCACCTGTGACCACCCGCTGCTGTTCTCGGACCCACCCTTCAGCCCGGCCACCAACCGCGAGAAGCTAGTGGAGGTAGCCTTCGAGTCGTTGAGCTCTCCAGCCATGTACGTGGAATCGCAGTCGGTACTATCCGTCTACGCCCACGGGCGTGTCAGCGGGCTGGTGGTGGACACGGGACACGGGGTCACCTACACGGTGCCGGTCTTCCAGGGCTACAACCTGCCCCACGCCACTGAGCGCCTGGACCTGGCAGGCAACCACCTGACGGCCTTCCTGGCAGAGATGCTCCTGGGGGCTGGCCTGACTCTGGGACAGCAGGACCTGGACACGGTGGAGAACATTAAGCACCACTATTGCTACGTGGCCTCTGACTTCCAGAAGGAGCAGGCCCGGCCGGAGCAGGAGTACAAGCAGACCCTGGAGCTGCCCGATGGGCGCACGGTCACCCTGGGCAAGGAGCTGTTCCAGTGTCCGGAGCTGCTGTTCAATCCCCCAGAGGTCCCAGGGCTGTCCCCCTTGGGCCTCTCCACCATGGCCAGGCAGAGTCTCCGAAAGGTGCCCCTGGAGGTGTGCACTGACTTGGCCAAGCATGTGCTTCTCTGCGGGGGGTCCTCGCTCTTTGCCGGCTTTCAGGATCGTTTCAGGGCAGAGCTGCTGCACGCCCTGCCCCCCAAGACTCACGTGGTGGTGACTGCCCAGCCCACCAGGAATTTCTCCGTGTGGATTGGGGGCTCAATCCTGGCCTCCCTGCGTGCTTTCCAGTCCTGCTGGGTCCTGAGGGAGCAGTACCAGGAACACGGTCCCTATATTGTGTACCACAAATGCTACTGACCAGGGCAGATCTGGGGAGGGCGTGGGGGCAGTAAAGCCTCTGCTACAGCCGGCTGTGTCCTGTCCTTCCTCCAGGGCCTGCCCCATCCACTCCTGGACACCCTGCTCCACAGGCTGACCTAACTCACCTCCTATGATGCGTGTCCTGAGACACCCCAATCCTGACCCCCTAAACCCACCTTCCCCATGAACAACCCCCAAGAGACCCAGCCAGGCTCTCCCCAAGGCAGGTTCAACCTATGGAATGGACAGAACCCCCTACCAGGTCATGGGGTGTTGAGGAGACATTTCTTCTCCTCCACACCAGGGGGCAGCACCTCCAAGCTCAAGGGCATGGAGTTCATAACCATGATGCGTGGAGCAAGCCAGACATCCAGGACCCAAGGGAGACCCACTCCAAGCTCCAGCCACAAGGCACAGAGGTATGTGAGACAGCCTGAGTCTCAGGTGCCACAGGAAGTAAGGGAGATGCAGAAACCCTGTCACCCCTGGGCTCCTGGGAAACCCAGTGAATTCTCATTTAGATCAGACTAAGTTTCCCTGTTCCCTCAGCTTTCTGAGGTAGAAATTTCCTCTATGACCCTCTGAACAAGTGCCCTTCCCACTTACACACTCCCAGAGATGTGGAGCTTACTACCTCAAAACTGTTGTTAGAAATCTCACCTCCCCCTATGAGTCATAGGTAAGCCTCCAGCTGTCAGCTGCTCCCAACCCTGAGCATCAGAACTCAAGACCCTGACCACCGCCCTCTCCATGTTCACATGCACCCCCAGGGTCTGCCACCATGCTTGGCTAATCTTTTTGATTATTGCCCAGGCTGGTCTTGAACTCATGAGCTCAAGCAATCCTCTCGCCTCAGCCTCCCAGGCCCCTGATTTCTTCAGTTCTCGTTTAAGTCATTCATCCACTGATCCCACACTCATTGATCACCCACTATGTGCCGAGTACTACACCAAAATCTAAGGAAACCACAGCACACAAGAAATGGAGCTGGGAGTGGTGGCTCACGCCTGTAATTCCAGCACTTTGAAAGGCTGAGGTGAGAGGATTGCTTGAGCTCAGGAGTTCAAGACCAGCCTGGGAAACACAGGCAGACCTCATCTTTACTAAAAATCAAAAAATTTAGGAAAGGTACTATGACTCATGCCTGCAATCCTAGCACTGTGGGAGGCCAAGGTGGGTGGATCGCCTGAGATCAGAAGTTTGAGACCAGCCTGACCAACATGGTGAAACCCCATCTTACTAAAAATACAAAAATTAGCCAGGCATGGTGATGACTGCCTGTAATCCCAGCTACTCGGGAGGCTGAGGCACAAGAATTGCTTAAACCTGGGAGGTAGAGGTTGCAGTGAATCGAGATCACATCACTGCACTCCAGCCTGGGAAACAGAGGAAGACTTTGTCTCAAAAGAAAAAAAAATTAGCCAAACATGGTGACGCTTTAGTCCCAGCTACTTGGCAGAGGTGGGAGGATCCCTTAAGCCCAGGAGTTTGAGGCTGCAGTGAGCCGTGATCACGCCACTGCACTGCAGCCTGGGCAACAGAGCAAGACCTTGTCTCAAAAGGGAAGAAACAAAAAATGGTGTGTCTGCCCAACAGATCCTCCTTGAAAGGTTTAACTTGAGAAGGTAGATTTATCACTTCACTAGTATAGACGTGTTTCTTCCATCACAAACTTCCAACTGGTCCGTATCTGTTTTGCACACTGATCCACAAGTCCTTTCCCTCTCAATGCTGCCAGAGCCATCCACCTCTCTCCATCCTTTGATCCCAGCCCAGGGATCAGCTCAATGACTGAAGAAGCCTCCTCCTTAGTGTCCCGGTCACCTTCTCAGAAGACTCTTGTATGCATAGGACTTTTGCAAAACATAGCTCAGAACACATGAGTCCCTGCTCAGAACATCCTAGTGACTTTCTTTCCTTCTTTCTTTCTTTTTCTTTTTCTTTCTTTCTTTCTTTCTTTCCTTTCTTTCTGTCTCTTTCTTTCTTTCTTTTCTTTCTGTTTCTTTCTTTTTCTTTCTTTCTTTCTTTCTTTTTCTTTCTTCTTTCTTTCTCTTTCTTTCTTTCTTTTTTTTTTTTTGACAGAGTCTCACTCTGTCACCCAGGCTGGAGTGCAGTGGCACAATCTCAGCTCACTGCAGGCTCTGCCTTCTGAGTTCAAGTAATTCTCCTGCCTCAGCCTCCTAAGTAGCTGGGATTACAGGTATGCACCACCACACTTGGCTGATTTTTTTGTATTTTTAGTAGAGATGGGGTTCCACCGTGTTGGCCAGGATGGTCTTAATCTCCTAACCTGTTGATCTGCCCATCTCAGCCTCCCAAAGTGCTGGGATTATAGGCGGAAGCCACCACACCCAGCCTCTCTTGCTTGCTTGCTTGCTTGCTTTTTCCAAGACAGCCTCATTCTGTTACCCAGGCTAGAGTACAGTGGCACAGTCATAGCTGACTGTAACCTTGAACTCCTGGGCTTAAGTGATCCTCCCACCTCAGCCTCTGGAGTAGTTGGGACTATAGGTGTGCACTAACACAACCAGCTTTTTTTTTTTTTTTTTTAAGAGATAGGGTCCCACTATGTTGTCCAGGCTGGTGTCAAACTCCTGGGCTCAAGCAATCCTCCTGCCTCAGTCTCCCAAAGTGCTGGGATGACACGTATGAGCCACTGTGCTCAGCCAGCTTTTGGCTTTTTTTATTATTATTATTTGAGACAAAGTCTCACTCTGTCGCCCAGGTTGGAGTACAGTGGCACAATCTCAGCTCACTGCAACCTCTGCCTTCCAGGTTGAAGCGATTCTCCTGCCTCAGCCTCCTCAGCATCTGGGATTACAGGTGCACACCACCACGCCCGGCTAGTTTTTGTATTTTTAGTAGAGACAGGGTTTCACCTTGTTGGCCAGGCTGGTCTCGAACTCCCGACCTGAGGTGATCCGCCCTCCTCAGCCTCCCTGAGTAAGCCACTATGCTCAACCAGCCTGTGGCTTTTCATCATGTGCAAATGAAACAAGTTCTTCCCATGGCCCAAATCTTCTGCTGATCTCTCTAGACCTCTCCTGTGCCTCCCTCCCAACCCCCTTCATTCACCTCCAGCCGCACAGGCTGCCTTTCTCTTCCAGTTATAGGATGCACTATGTCCCGTCAAAATTCATATGTGGAAAGCCCAACCCTCAGTCCCTGAGAATGGGACTGTATTTGGAGATTAGAACTTTAAAGTAATAATTAAGTTAAAATGAGGTCATTAGGGTGCAGTCTCATCCAGTATGACTGATCGGACCTCAAAAGAGATTGGGGCCAGGCACGATGGCTCACACCTGTTATCCCAGCACTTTGAGAGGCCGAGACAGGCAGATCACTTGAAGTCAGGAGTTCAAGACCAGCCTGACCAACATGGTGAAACCCTGTCCCTACTAAAAATACAAATAGAACTGAATTCTGCAAAGAACTATTAACGTAACTGCAAGGAACTAAACTCTGTTAACAACCTGATTAAACAAGGAAACAGATCCTTCTCTCAAGCCTCCAGAAGGGAACGCAGCCTGCTGACACTGAGTGTAGCCCATATCTTCATTTATTTATTTATTTGTTTTCCGAGACAGGGTCTTACTGTGTTATCCAGGCTGGAGAGCAGTGGCACGGTCATAGCTCACTATAGCCTCCAACTTCTGAGCTCAAGTGAGCCTCCAGACTCAGCCTCCAGAGTAGCTGTGAGTACAGGTGCACACCACCACACCAGGCTATTTTTAAAATTTTTTTGTAGAGATGGGGCCTTGCTATGTTGCCCTGGCTGGTCTCAAACTCCTGAGTTCAAGCAATCTTCCCCCTTGGCCTCTTAAAGTGCTGGGATTTCAGGTGTGAGCTACTGCACCCAGTCTTCCAGATCTTGAGACCTCCAGAACTGTAAGAGAATACAGTTGTGTTGTTTAAGCTGTCAAGTTAGTGTTTATTGGCAGTACAGCAATGAGAAGCTAATACAGCATAAAAATGGCTCCCACCTTTTTCCCCAGAAGATGCGGTTGTCTACCCATGGAAGCCTGTGTACCCCCTGAGAGTGGTCAAGGGCCATGGATGGCTGTGGATGGATAGCGTCTGCTGGCTGTGTGTGCTGGTGAACACTGTCATTCCCCACGTCCCTTTCCCTCCACCTGTGACCTGTGGGTCCAGAGATTGGGTAAGACCTGACCATGGCTACTGCTTCTTCCTCTTCTTCCCCCCCTCCTCCTCCTCCTTCTTCCTCTTCTTCTGTCTCTCCTCCTCCTCCCCCTCCCACTCCTCGTCTTCCCCCACTCTCTTCTCCCTCCCCCTCCCTTTCCCCCTC